CAGATTATTTGGTCATGCTTCGGGAAAAGTGAAGCAGTTTGACTTGCTCAGCTTTATCTTCCGTTTTAGAGCGACCTTGGCTGCTCGAAACACCACCCTTTGCTCTGCTTTGTCTGCATCAGTTCTTGCCCGCTGAACGCGCCTTCTGGTTCGGAGACAACTAGCGCGGAACGTGCTAAGTGCCTCGTTCCACCAGTAAGCTGGGCGCCGTCTGTTCCTTGGCTCCGATTTCCTCGACATGGTTGTGTCGCATGCCCTCGCTAACGATTCGGTCAACTCGTTCGCGCTTTGGTCTGGGACGCTGCTGTCTACCCGGAGAGCTTCTACAAAGAGATCTTTGTCGAATGCCTTCGTCTTCAACCTCCACTTGCTTACTTTCGTTTTCCACATTGCCGTAGGTATCCATTGGCCAAAGCTGTACCTAATCGCCTGATGGTCACTATGAGTGTACTCCTCACACACTCTCCAGTTCATACTTGCCACTAACGACGGACTGCAGAAAGTGACGTCGATAATGGATTCCCTACCATTTTTGCGGAAGGTACTGAAGGTTTCTTCGTTGGTCAGACTGACGTCCAACTTTGCCAGAGTTTCCAGCAGGCGATACCCTCTTGCATTGGTACATCTGCTTTCCCAGTCCACTGCCCAAGCATTGAAATCTCCTCCAATGACGATTGGTCTCCGTCCGGTGAGCTCCCTGGTGAGTCCATCTAGCATCTGGTGAAAACTGCTCCATTGTCCATCTCGGGGGTGCATAGCAACTTCATACGAAGGTTCCATTAATTTTGGCGATCACAAAACCTTCGTAAGACCTCGTCACCACTTCTTGTATGGGATACCTGCCCATAACTTGTATTGCCACCATCCCTGCTCTATTGGCCACCCAGTTATCGTTATCGGGAGGGACTCGATACGGCTCCGCAATCATTGCAACGTCGCACTTCGTTTCCGTTGTCGACTGCCACAACAGTTGCTGTGCTGTGTCACAATGATTGAGATTTATTTGGGTTATCTCCATTACTATTGGCCCGCTATCGCCTTTTTGTAAGCTGGGCACCTGAAACTTCCATTGACTTCTTGTCGCAGGATTTCACCAATACAACGTTGCTAGTGTAGCCGTGTAAAATCGATTTGTTTATTATTTTCAACCACGAAATCAGCTGTCAAAGTGTTCGACCTGACAGCGGTTTGTTTTTTATTTTCAACCAGTTAAACGCTTGTATTAGTGAAACTGCTCACTAATACTAACCGTGGTAGAGAACTCTATGGTCGTTTCCGTCCTCCTTTCTGTAGAGCATGCACCTCGGTTGCTTCATACAGTCTTTATCAACGTGCTCCTTCTCTCCGCATTTCCTGCACAGCTCCGATTGATCAGGGCCTTTGCAGTTGCTCGTCTGGTGACCAAAGTTCATGCACTTAAAGCATCTCTGCATTTGCTTGGTAACCCGAGGGACCACCGTACGTCTTCCTCAACCGGATTGTCATGGGCACATCTCCCAGATTGCATTGCACCTTCAGCGCACATCGTACCTCGTCTTCCGTTGTGATCTCATCCAGATCCTTGCACTCGATCACTGACTCCTGCGATACGGCTCTTACGTTCAGGTCTTCGCCAAGAGATTTTTCGACGAGTTCCTTGAAGGCTGAACTCCTCACCGACGGGTCCTTCTTCAGCTCGAAGAGCATCTCGCCTTTCTGGGTGCGCCTGGTTTTCACCACGTTCTCGCCTAGTTGCTTAAACTCCGGATCCTCTCTCACTTTCCGGAGGAGTGCTGCGTATGTCGTTTTGTCTTTCGCCTCGATAACCAGGGCGTTGCCCTTACTGCTCTCCCTACGATGCCTGGGGTTATTCTTCTTCTTCGTGACTTCCTTCTTCCTCTCTTTTGTCTTCTTCTTCTTATCTTCCTCTTCATTTTTCTTTTCCTTCTCCTCCTTCTTCCTTCAGTTTTTTCCTCTTCTCCTTCTGGTTTTCGACTTTACGCCAATCACTGTCTTCTCCATCTTCTTGCTCCTTGTCGGCGTATTCGTCCTTGTGTTTTTTGGGGTCCTCTTCGTCTCCTGGCGTGATCTCTTTTCTCCGGACGTGGGTTCGTTGGTCTCTTCGGTGTCTCCTGCGCTTCAGCCAGCATTGCATTCTCCTTGGCCTCAAGCAGAGCCTTTTCGGCCGCTTCAGCTCTTCTTCTCCATTCTTGCAGTTCCCGGTCTGCCCCAGCTATGCCGGATTTGATGACCGTCGCTAGTAGCTTGACATCCTTGTGTATGTTGTTCTTATCCTTCACGAACACATAGAGTTCATCAATCTTCCTCCTAACCCCCGTCATTTTGGTTCTCGCAAGCTGCAATTCTTGCTGTTTGCCACTGCTGGATTTCGGTGCGAATATTTGGCATGGCGCCACACCTAGCTGCTCTCCTTGGGGTCCATGCTGTTCCACTTGGGGTATGCTACTACTGGAAATCGCTGTGGTCACCTGGTTTGACGCTGGTGATCTCTGCAGCTTTCCGCTTCTTGCGAACACGTTCGCTCCTCCGTTTTCACTGTCTGGCGTCTTGCCGTCGTCCTTCATATTTTTTTGGTTTGTTTCATTTTCTTCTTTTTTGTTTTTTCTCCGATTTTCTCCATTCTGATGGGTCCCCCCTCCGGGCCGCTATCTCCACTCGTTGTATGTAATCTCCTATCGTGATCCCATGGTTATCTATGCAAGCAGGGAGGCCATGCTAGGGTTGACACGGTCCTTCATGGGGGCCGTGTTCAGAGCCAGATCGGCGTAAGTCAGGAATGTTAAATCTGAGCCTACTACTCACCAATCACCAATTGGTATGGGACATATGCAAGTCTTTATTATGCACTATGTATTATTATTGTTGTTCTTACAGAAAATGCTTAATCACATATGCATTGAGTGGCCATTCAATTCTACCCCCCCCCCCCCCCCCTCCACACCATCACTGTAAGAATGTCTTTCCTTATATGACACTTACGAAAAGTTTGAAATTCCAGCTCCCCCCGCCCCCCTAAATGGGCTCGTATAAATTGAATGATTCCTAAAATTCATCAGGGGGCTGACAAAATCGGGACATTACTGTATCAGCAGCTCTTTTTATGAGAAAAACTAAAATACATACATTCGTGACGGTCTTGGGCGACAGTGTCATATGACATTATAGTTTGGTACTGTACTATGATAGCTTGTTTAGCAAGTGTCGGAGGCAAAGGCAGTCGATTATCACAGAAAATGTGTCGACAACCGTGACCGCTTACAAGACTGCTCACGATACATGCTTCCCTTCTAAAACCGTCTAACAGTCGTCGTCAAACTAATCGATTCAATTTTGTCGATTTCTTCCCACGATACCTTCTGTTGCAGTTTTGATGGCCACTTGGACACTACTCTAGCAGTTCTCTAGTCTTTTAAACAGCTCTCTCTTGCTCGTCCGACAACGCTGCTTCGAAGTTTCGAAAGTAGTCAGTTGCGACTTCGAATAGCTTGAGTCATACCAGTTGGTACCGAAATGTTGTTGACAACAGAATGTCTTTGGCGTACTTTTCACAACACAAGGTAGTGGGGTCTGAATCGATGTTTGCACCACGATAGGTCCCAACGTATATGGTAACCAAGAAGTGCCTTTCGTCAAGGCAACCGTGGTTGATTCTCCACATGTACGGATATGCAAGGCTGTGGTGGTAGACACTACGTATGCCATGTTCTTCGAGGAGATCGTAAGCTAATGTACGCTGTACTTTTCGATAACCGGTCTGAATTCATCCTCCATGTCACTCTGAGCATTAAGATATCCGATAATGATTTTGATGTAAAGCCTTGGGCAGCTGTCGAATTTTCGATCCAGCTGTACTTTGATTATCCTGACATTGAAGAAACGGCCTTTCAACCTGTTGTCGCCTACTTTGGCATCACGAATGCTGACCCTTCTCATGTGTTTAACAAAAGCTCTGGTAGATGATATTTCTATAGGATGTACCGACAATCTTTCCCAGCAAGCCTTCTGCAGCGCTACAATGATGAACTTGCAGACCATCAATAAGTCGAAAAGAAAGCGGGTGCTTCCCAAGAAATTGAGAGACTTACAGATCAAGGATCAAGGTTCCATATTTCCATTTGTTAGTCTATATTCGTTGCCGAGATCCATAGCGATTGTACCGGTCCGTAAATTGAGACCTGGATGGGATAAATCACCATGATGGTAACTCCACATGATAGTGATACGACATACTGGTGAAGCAACATTAAACCGGATAATTTATCATAATAGACCAAAGTAATAGTGGCAGTGAAATTCAATTGGTGTCTCTGCTTATGTCAGCATGATCATCGAAATCTATAACATGTGAGGATGAAAAGTTTCGTTGAAATTAAATTAGGATAAACTGCAATTCTATTTAGGATGAATATATTAATCAATTCAATATCGTAAGGAAATCCAGTTTGGCAGAAGAATATTTCCGATAAATCCATTCAAGGCTGATTTTAATGACAAACTTTTCACTGAAAATAATGACATGACATCTGATATTAAGACCGTACATGTAAATTCGTGGATCGTAGTCTTTAAATCCTGACCTTCATACAGTGACTCACGCTTTCCAGAAACAAAAAATGCATACGCTTTCGATAAACACAGCAGTGATCAAGCTTTTTAAGTAATTTCAATTATTATTGATACGCAATATGCATGTCTAATGCATCGCACTAAATTGCGTTATAGATACATCGCATTCGTGCAGCCAATGCAGTCATCGTTGCTGTTGTTGATATTGCCATTACTACCTACTAAAAATCATCTTCTCCACCTACTGATTCAGATTCACTCTGAATCTCGAACACCATCGCTATCTCCATCAGCGAAAAATGGTTTGGCATTGGATTCAGTGATTGTGGTGTCATGCTGCTTGCTAATCATCATGACCTAACGTCGACCGTCGTGGTTCCTCAAAGAAAAAAAAAATCCAAAACCGTGTGTAAACCTTCTACCCCACTTCTTACCTACGAATTTCAGCTCATTCGCTGGCTCGATAACAAGCAACTGCGCTGGCTTATTAGACATATTTGCTGCTTCTGGTGCTGCCACTTTTACTGCTGATGGTATCTCCTATCAGGATTTAAACTAAATTCCGCTTCTCCTTCTTCAGATGGGTCAATCCGATTCTACTGCTGTTTCCGTTTCCGGGAGTCCGATTCTTCCCCAAAAACCGTCGAACGCTCACCTATACACTTCTCACCACTTTCCGTTCAATGGGTTCGGGAAGAGAAAAAAAAAAAGAATCCCAAATGGATCGATAAAACACTCGACTCACAGGCAAACACAAAACGCACATCAAACTTCCACACACCACACACTACTCGTCGCTCTTCTGCCCTGCTGCTGCGGGCACAGGTTACGCGAAAAATCTATAACCACGGATTTCGCCTTGGCTCTTCGCGTCGCCTTCGTCCTTAGGAGTCGTTCCCGTATCGAAGCGCTGCCCGTTTAGTTGCTGCTATGCGGATTTACACTCGGGAAGCAGCTTTTCCGTAACACTTTTTCCGTTTTCCCGTTGCTAAACTCCAGGGAGATCACCGTACCGATTTTCCCTTTCTCGACAACACTTTGGCAGCAGAAGAAAAATCAATTTTCACGCCCCGGTTTCGCTTTCGTCACTCTCCGACTCGGCTCTTTCTTTTTTTTTCTTTTCACCTTTCGTGTTCGTCGCGTTTTTGACTTTTGCTGACGGAACGTTGCGGTTATGAAAATGCAAATTTCGCCCGGATTCGAGGGTTTCTGTTTTGGGCAAGGTTGCGAAGCCGAGAGGTTTCTCGAATCTATCGAAAGCGCTATCTCGTTTTATCGAACGGTTCAGGGTGAGGGATGGTCGGAAGTCTCTTTCTATTTATAGTGAACCTTGCTGGAGTGACTAACGCCTTGCAGAAACTTCAAACTTTTCGCTCGTGACATCAAAATGTAGTGTTGCCAGCGATGAATGTCACGCTTGAAGAGTACCGGGCTTGGTTAGTTTGGCATACGATCAATTTGGCATAATGACCGTTGGTTAATCCAGCTTCCCGACCAACCATTTCGTTTTTTTTTAAATTCGTTTATTTTTCCAGGCTCATTTGCTGTAGCTTTGCGGAGCCGATATTCATTGTTTAGATAACAAAATTACTTAAAACTAACGTTAGTAAAGCGGGGGCCGATTACTCGCGGCTATCTCGAGGTAAGTAACGAGGGGGTAACAAATTGTAACAAATGGATGGCAGGGTAGGGATTGTGAACACAAGGTTTGGAGAGCAATGTGCTATTGATCTCGAACTAGGCGACACTCTGATGAAAAAGACAAACATGGGGGTATACACTAGACTGATGCAAATTTTGACATTTTCGCTCCACAGTGCACAAACGGTTCCAAATCGGGTCCTGATTAGTCTCCCAAAATTTGAACTCATTTGATAAGAAACTGACTTCGCACAAACCATTTGAAGTTTATACGGAAATTACTATAGGAAAACCAAATGTTTTGTTCATATCCATCTTACAATTTACCATATCGCTCTGCTTTCAAAAATGATAACTGAGCTCGTAGAAAATTTTCTCAGCTACAACATTGTCCTGAACCACTTTTCAATGTAATGTAAGCATCAAAAGTTATCAATAATTCAAGCCACTAATGTCTTACGATTATGCTCAATGAACTGTTCAGCAGGCAACATTGGTGTTTCTGGCGCTTGGAATAGAGCACAAAAATCATGGCTACTATGTCACACTGCAAGATACAGTGTTGCTCACAAAACAGCTGCTTGATCATGCCATAAGATTATCAATATCTTAAACAATTAATAACTATTTTATTTGACATTTGGCTCAACAACTATCTTCTGCTAAGTTGAAGGTGAGAAAATTTTCCAATGAATTTTAGAACAGTGCCATATGGAAAAAAGGTAAGAAGACAATGAACAAAAAGTTTGGATTTCCCATAGTAATATCCATATAAACTTCAAATGGTTTGTGCCAAGTCAGTTTCTTTTCAAATGAGTTCAAATTTTGGGAGACTAATCAGGATCCGATTTGAAACCGTTTGAGCACTGTGGAGCGAAAATGTCAAAATTTGCATCAGTCTAGGGTACACCGATGGGCAACTAACAACTTGGGAGAACACAAGATGACACTAACTACTAAATCCTCAAATCTATCCGTTTTAAAAACACATAAATTAAATTCAAATAGTCGAGGTCTCGGCTCGCCACGGGCTGTTTTCCTCGGGCCCTGAGGGATATGGATAACTCAGATCTGGCAACACGGTGTACGGTACATGACCAAACAACATGCTCGATATCGTGATAACCACTGCCACACGCACATAAATTGCTGCCTGAGAGCCCAATTAGATAGAAATGCGAGTCTAACGAGCAGTGATGGGACATAAGCCTTGATATTACGCGTATAAAGTCGCGGCTCATGTCCAACCCTTTGAACCATGGTTTGTTCGACACCTGTGGGAGAATAGAATGTAACCATCTTCCCAATTCACCATCATTCCATTTTTGTTGCCAACTGATGAGGACTTGCTGACGAGCAATGGAGAAAAATTCGTTGAAGGCGATTTGTCGCTCAAAAATATCGCCTTCCATAGCGCCCACCTTAGCCAATGAGTCCGCTTTCTCATTACCCGGAATTGAGCAATGAGAGGGACCCAAGCTAAGGTGATAATATAGGAGCAGTTAGATAAAGCACTCAGTTTAGATCGTATTTCAGGCAGGAAATACGAAGAGTGATTCATCGGCCTCATTGAACGAATAGCCTCCAGTGAGCTAAGACTATCCGTAAAAATGAAATAATGGTCAGAAGGTAGTGAGGCAATTCGCTCTACTGCGTAAAATATAGCTGCAAGGTTCCGCAACGTATACGGAGCATGGTTTCTGCAGTTTATAGGAGGCGCTATGAAATTGATTAAATACACCAAATCCAGTGGAAGCATTTTTGGTTGACCCATCTGTGAAAAATCTTTTATCGTTACTTACATGGTGGTACTTGATTGCAAAAATTGAGCAACCTCCAGCGTCATGTACTCATAGTACAAACTCATGAATCTTGTTTGAGGATTTCTGTCGAGTAGCTTCTCAAAATTTTCTATTACCAATGGGTTCATTACTTCACAACGGATAAGAAACCGGAAGGACAGTTCCGCGAAACGATCTTGGGTTGTTCTCATTCGTCGTGTTGAAGCATAGGAAGAAGAAAATATTTTCACCTTTCCTGATTAATTTATCCATCGCAGGTGCATGAAATCGTCATCCACGTGGAATATTTTGTTTTCTGTATCGATTTTTCAGTGATCCGGCTGGTGCTTCCACATATGTTTGATGAGACAGATTAAGACTTATAAAACTGTCCCAGTGGTTATGATTTTCCTGATTTTAAATGTGTGCTTAGGGGTCCATTAATTATGTCACACTTTGAGGGGGGAGAGGGGAGAGGGTTTGGAAACTGTGACGAGCCATACAAAACAAATTAAGGTCCAAACAAAAAATGTGACAAACGGGGGAGGGGGTTTAAAAATGGGCCAAATTTGCGTGACAGAATTAATGGACCTTCCCTTATTTGAGTAAATCTCGGAGAAAATCAGCTAAGATCTGTAGCAAATCGTAAAATTAGACCACTTCCGATGGAAATTTGCAATACGTTCAATTAAATACGCATTACTTTGAGTTTTGAAAATCTTCATTATGATGTAAACAAATGGTTTGAATGACATTTCAGGCGTAGCATTTGATAACGGCACAAAAACTTTTGTAAACAAACTTTGTAAGGTCCTTTGTACGTGAACCAAAGTATGCCCACGAAAACCAAAACCACTTTCGGAAAACGTGATTACCTCTCACTCCAGCTGGCCTGGGTTCAATCCCAGTCGGCGCCGCCGGGATGTTCTGAGGCATATTCGGCTAAAACATGACTACACCTAAAATTTGTGTATTTTTTACACCTTTTATGAGTATCTGTTACTCATAAATGCATAAATTTTATTAATTAATTCTTAAATGTGTGAAATTTTAGGCATTTTATGGGTTTTTTTTCCTTGATTTGTTTTCCGTCGATCTTGTTTTCCGTGCTGAGCACCAATGCTACCGACGCCAGGAAGGCTGCTCCCACACCTGGACTCTACCTATCGACCCATCAACCACAGAACAGAAGGGGAACTGCAAACAAATCGGTGAATCAAAAATGGCTCGTTTTTCTGCTCAACATCCCTAATAACAAATAACCATAAACGAATGATAACCCAAATCATTGAACTATTCCACAAATGGTTTGGATGATACCCAGAACACGTCGTTAAGCAAATTAACTATACATTTTTTATTAGGGATGCGATGTGTTGTGGTAGCGTTCCACACGGGCTTTCTATGTGCACTCACACTATCATAGCATGCTGCCTATCTTAACTGCAGACAGAAGATGCCTTCTACCGCTAGGTGCGCTAGTGTTCGCAAATGACAAGTGGAGCCACTTTCTGATCCGAAGTTCCACGAAGTGCATCAACTCATGAACCGGGGACCAACGGCTTTACTTCCCATCCGAAGGAAGGCGTGATCAGAGATGTTATGCCTCAGAACATCCCGGTGGCGCCGATTGGGATTGAACCCAGGCCTGCTGGGGTGAGAGGTAATCACGCTTACCACTACACCACCAGCGCTGCTCATTTTATGGGTTGTCCCGTTTTCTTTCAAAAATGCGTACTTTATACACTCCGGTGTCAGAAACGTCATCCACGAACATTTTGCTTGAAGCCAAAGTTGTTGGTTCTTTGGCTCGATTATCTGCCGATCTAAGACAGCTGATGCAAAAATTGAGAAAATATGCTTCGCGTCCACATAGATGTTTGATTGGCTGCGCGGCAAAATAATCGTGATAAATTTTCAACAAGCGCTTAAACGTTGCTTAAACGCTGTCCAGACTGGAGAGTTATAAATGGTTATAACATGTTATAACGGTTGTCAAATAATTGCAACACAGAAACCGCACCATCAAGATAGCGCTATAACATGTTATAACCATAGAGGTAACTCTAAGACCACTGGGTCCCGAAGAAAATCATTATTATTTTTGGCTCACTCAGTACCAGAACAACGGTCCCAAGCAGTCCCAAGCTATTTCACTCACCCCTGCATGTTCTGCATGAATCCACACACCCCTGATGTTATCTGTCAAACTTTCATAGCGAATCAAAACAAACATAGTGTAGTAATAGAATTTCAACTAGAATAGGGTACGTTAATCGTTTGCTTGGGACCAATAGGCTACTAAAGTGGTGAGCCAATTTAAAATCGTTAGTTTCGTATTGATTGTTGTTATAACTCTGTAGTCTGAACGTACTATTACATGTACCCGCATAAGCGTTAACCATAAATTGACCTTACCTAAAATGGTTAAAATTGTTTATAATCCCTGCTAAACTTCAACTGAAATGGTTATGGAACATTACATGAACGTTTAATGATAAAGTTTTAACCTTAAGTATTATAGTTTTTTGGAAGTGGACCTTACAAATAATGGGTTTTTAAGAACCATTACCATTCAAAATTCTTGTTTTCTCCATACATTTTCGGAAAGAAAACTATACTAAAACCTAGACTAAAACCTTTTAACTTATGGTTTGAGAACATTAATGGTAATGGTTATGGTAACCAGTAAGGTCCATGAATGGTTTTGTAACATCGATCAACTTTATGTGGAATATATCGCGAATTGGTTGCCTGTAAATTACTGATTACCAATTCACGATATATTTCACGTAAAGTTGAGTGATAATACAAAACCATTAATGGACCTTACTGACTACCATAACCATAACCATTAATGTTCTCAAACCATAAGTAAAAACGTTCTAATATAGTTCTCTTTCCGAAAATGTATGGAGAAAACAAGAATTTGGAATGGCAATGGTTCTTAACAACCCATTATATGTAAGGTCCGCTTCCAAAAAACCATAATACATAAGGTTAAAACTTTACCACACTAACGTTCATGTGAAGTTCCATAGCCATTTCAGTTGAAGTTTAGCAGGGATTATAAACAATTTATAACCATTATCGGTAAGGTCATGTGATGGTTCACGTTTATGCGGGAGGAATTAAATATTTATTATATTAATTTTTGAATTAGGCAAGCTAATCATGAAAATTTCAAGTTTCATTAATGATTCACATAAGATTTTTTAACGCATACCGTCATTGCACATATAAACATAGCCTAAAAACTGCAGGCTACAGTGCTGACATCACCAATGGTGGTGGCTTCAGCAACCCTCCTTCTTGGCACACTCAAAGGATTTTCAAATCTAAATAGATTAAAAGTTACGCTAAATCGCAACTCTCCTGACCGACGCATAGCTTGATATAAAGAGAGCGAATGCACACTTAGTATAAAAATGGTTTATGCGTGACATAGCATAAAACAGAAATATTCCTGAAATGAATACGTACGGTTTATTCAGAATGCTTTTATGGCTTCTTTTTTAGTGAGTGGTCTTAATTTTTTTTTTTTCATATAAAATAAAAGCTAGTCATGAAGAATAGTTTATTCGTAGCAAAACAGTTAGAGCAAACCAATAAACTAATCAATTATCAGCTCCCGGCACAGATTGAAGAATCTACGGAAATTCCCCCACGGCCTGGGCTGAACGTAGCTTGAGATCCTCGTTGAGAACAATACCAAGGGAAGATGTAAAGGATCTGGTACACGGTGAACTTCAATATGTTCTCGCCTTCTATGGTGGAGCTAAGCGAGTGTGCGGGGTGCATTAATCGTGGATGCCTTGGACCTACGAAATCAAAAAATCATCGCAATTACCTTACCACAACAGACACTTATTCATAAAACTTACCGTCAAACCTATCATAGATAAACTCCTGCTGATGCTTAAAAGAAATCTTGTTTGTCCTGTACATTCTGGAACGAATAGCACAACTTCCACGTGTCGCGCTTCTTATAGAGCCGTCGGTCGAAAAAACTTCTCCAGATCCCACCAGATGGATATGATTCACTTCGTTGCCGGTTACGTTGCTGCTGCTAGTTGACTTGTGGTATGTTTAATCTCTGATTTCGGACGAGTTTGGCACTTGGTATATACACTGAATAAATTCTTCGTCTTTATTCGGTCTTACCATACTTTTTAAAGCAAATTTTAATCGGAATAATGTATACATATTCATTAATCGTAGAATGCTTAAAATTTAATCTTGTTACGTTTTGTAATATTTTTCAGTGTAGGCATAAAAGAGTTTTTTGCGATTACCGTGTACACTGTGGAAAACGAAGTACTAGATCAACATTTTTGAACGGTTGTTGTAAACAAAACCGAAATCAAACGGCAAACAAAGCATGTAAAAGATTATTCTCGTCAGGAACGGAAGTTTTCCAGTATAAATTTTCAATTTGTTCGCTCACTTTGATCGTAAATAATAGTTCAATTATTCGTACGATTGCATATTAGTTGCACTGATTCATTGGTAATGATTCTGAAGAGAAGTGAATAAAGATGAATGCAGCAAACCAAACAATCATCGCTGACATTCAGTCGCTAACGGGGGACGAACTGGCCGAACAGTACCGCCACTTGGCCGATGCCTACCGATCGTTGAAACGATCCCACGAAGAGGAACTGCAGACGAGTCATGAGCTGAAACGGAACTACCAAACGGCTTCCGAATCGGTTGCCTACATGAGTGCCGAGTTGGAATCGATTGATTCCGTCCACAAGGAAGAATTGGGTGAGATTTTTGGTTGTAAGTATTTGTCGATTGGGAGAAACTAAAAATTATGTTGTTTTAGCTAAACTGAAGGAAAAGTATGTTTTGACGCTGATGAGTCTGAAAGATTCGAATGCGGATTTCAAGCAGCACAATTTGTCCCTAGAAACCACGGTTGATGATTTACAGAAGCAAATTGTACAGCTGAAAGAGAAACTCGAAGAATTGGAACAGTCATCCGGCAAATCCGAATCGGTAACGGGAAATGTATCACTCACTTCCGAAAAGGAAGCCTTCCTGGAGAGAGAAAACGAAGAACTGAAGCTGATGATCGCCGAATTGCAGGAGAAAATTGATACGCTGACGTTGCAGTTGGTCAATTCGGAAAGCAAAGTGGAAAATCTGGAGGAAAAGGTCGACTGTGTCGAAGATAATCTCAGCTCGAAACGGCAAGAATTGGAGGAACTGCAAGTGCTACTGGATTCCACTCAGGAAGAGAATATGCGCTTGAATTCGGAAATCGCTGCCCTGCGGAGTGCTCCTCAGGATGCCAACCAGAAAGGCAATTCACTGTTTGCGGAGGTGGATGATCAGCGGCAAAAGATGATTGAAATGCTGCAGTCGCAGCGGAAACGCTTCAATGAGATGAAAAAACTGTACGGCGAGAGTCAGTTCCAGATGCGGAGGCTTACACGGGAGAACGAGGAGCTTTGCAACGAAATTAAGACGTGCAGTGAGTTGTTTACGAAGGCGGACAACGGCTTTCGGGATGAAACAAGCCGGCAAATTAGTGCCCTGGGAAAGGAGGTCGGCCAGTTGCGGGAACAGTTGTCGACGACGGAAAGGAGGTTGCTGGAAACGGCTAGCGATACAAAGTGGGTTGAGCCTTTTGTGTCGTTTTACAGGTGAGCAATTTTGTTCTTTGTGATTTTTCAAGATAGTAGGTAATAATTATACAATTTATTCCGTTGCAGACACGAATGTAGCGACTTGAAGACGAAACTTTTCCAGTCGCAAATGGCCAAACGGCTGGTGGACGAAATATGCTGGGAAGCACAGCGGGACCTAGCCAAGTGGCGTTTTGAGGCACTGAAGTCACGCTTCATCATTATCAATCGGGAGTCTCTACTGGAGGAACATGGAATCAATTTCGCGCCACTGGACGCCTTGGCAGTGGGAATCCACATTGACGAAGCGACCATGGTTAAGGCTAAACCACACTTGGACTTTACAGCCGGAATAGTCAATGTCAAGACTGTCACCGGTGTAGGCAGCGAGTTGGATCCAGTGACCGACCTGGAACACGATCTAACTGTACTTTCGATTGAGGTACCAAATGATGAATCGCACTTGTTACCACCTCCGCTGCCACCTGCTTCGCTGGCTAAATCCACAAAAATCGAAACAATCACACCGCTAGCAACTCCCCTGGTAACACCAAACCAGTCTCCACGGTCGATCAAGAAGGAGCTTAAACCTCCAACCAGCTCCCTGCCGTACCGGGACATTGTCTTCATACCGAAGGATGCCCCACTCACGGACAGTCTGAAGAAGAAGCAATTTGCTGAAATGCTTGTAAAGACCGTGAAAGCAGAGGAAGGCGCCAAACTGGCTACCAACAAAGTCCTAAACGATGACGAAGAGAAAGAGAATATCGAGCTGGGAGCCAGAGATGTACAACAGCAGCAGCAACAACAGCAGCAGCAATCATCGGAATCTAAATCCTGGGGATGGATTTCGGAGAAACGAACCAAGCATAACATCGTGGTCAGGAAGTTTAAATTTCCGGAGCGGAAGGTCCCCCTTTCCGAACAAAAGTAGTGAATGGAAGGTAAGAATGCTTTGTAGAACTTACTTGATTAGAGCAGAGATGATTTGTTTTCCTAATATATGCAATTGAGTTGTGGATTAGCAAGGAAATCGAAGCAAGTGGTTATTGTTCCGAAAGATCATCGATTGCTTTGGGCGGGATTTGTCCAGCAATCTCGCGAAATTCTCTGACGGCGCTTCATTACCTCAATTGGAGAGGAAACATGGTTTATGATGGCATTAAAAACAAGTGCTTCATATGTGAGATAGGATAAAGAAACTGCAACTGCACCAGCACAAAGTAAACCCATGTTGGAGGTGAGGGGTTTGATCGGTTTTCAAGATAGGATCTGTTTTTGTTCGAACTGACAAAAAGTCCAAAGGTAATCTTCATGCACCGTTTGCAACAGCTGCTACACACCACAGTCATCATGATGATCGAATCGTGAATTCAACGTGTAGAATTCCTGTGGAAGCCCAACCATCATATCATACTTAGTTCCTTATCTGCTCTTCTCGAAATGAATTGCCAAAATTGCTTATTTAGTGTCTAAGCGAATCTCGTGCACGACCGTCCTTCAGGTGTATATCAGTAGCAAGCGAGACCAGTCAGCACGATAAGATAAATCTCTAAGCATGATTAGGTCCCTACGAATCAGCGTGCTCATCGTCAGTTTGTTAAGTCTCCTTGGCCAGCACGCACCCACCCACTTAACAAGTCAATCATGTCCAGCTCGTACGACCCGTTGGGAAAAATTTGGTCCGGCCCTAGGCAACCGGGTCCGTTTAACCCGCAAGCCAATCTGGGCCAATTGATCTTGAACGTACTGGAACGAAACCCAACTATGGTGGCCCAGGTCTGTGTGGAGTCCGGAGTGAAGCTATCCTGCGAAGAAATTCGCCTCCGCTCGATACGAGCTGCACAGAACCTGACCAAGCTGGGCTGCAAGCAAGGTGACATGGTTGGCTTTGCCGTGAGGAATCGCGAAAACGTGGCCCCTTTGGTGTACGGCTGCTTCCTGATTGGGGCTCCCGTGAACTGTGTTGATCCGGATTTCACGGCCGCAGATATGGCGCACATGTTCCGGATTAGTAAACCGGTGCTGGTGGTGGCAGATGAAGATAATGTGGAAACGGTTAAAGCGGGTTGCCAGGATGCGGGAATCAGTCCAAAGTTCGTTGTGATGGATCGAGCCTCCGGTGAAGACGATCTGTCCGGCTGGGATGTTGTTAAGGAGACCGGGATGGAGCATTATTATTTGTAAGTGGAATTTGAGAATTTAGCTAATCATGTCTTCCGCATTTCTGACGTGTGTATGATTGATAAGATCGTTTACAATCTCAATTTGCTTTATAGCCCGCTATATCTGGGTGACTCGGAGAAACTTATAGCAGCTGTCGTTTGCTCGTCCGGAACTACGGGAATGCCCAAAGGAGTCTGCCTGTCGCATGCAAACCTCATCCATCAAAGCGCCTTGATATGGTAGGTGTCATTCGTTGATCAGATCTCAAATCAACCTTAATTGATCTGCATTCCTATCCCCACAGCAATATCCATCTATTCAAGACGGCTTTCTCGTTCAGCTCGCTGTACTGGGTATCGGGATTCTACCAACTGATACAAGGTCCGTTTAACAATTCCACCCGTTACATCTCAACACGTCGATTCAGTCCGGAGGCGTTCTTTGAAATCGTTGAAAAGTACGCCCTCACGCACGTGTTCTGTCCACCTGCCCTGATAGCAATGATCCTTCAAAGTCCTCGACTGAAGCAGGTCGATCTTTCCAGTATCAAGTCCTTCTATTCCGGTGGAGGTGTCTTTACGCCTGGACTTCGTAAGTCTCTCCAAAAGTGGCTTCCTTCGTGTAGGATCGGCGTGGGTTATGGAACATCGGAGATCGGCTACGTAGCCGCGGATGCCTTTGGGCCGATACGGGAAGGATCGGTTGGGCAGCTGGCTCCGAACATTGAAGCCAAAGTGCTGGACGACAATGGGAACTCGATGGGTGTCAACGAGAAGGGCGTCCTCTGGTTCCGATACCCCATCAGAGCAGTAGGTTATCTGAATAATCAGGCTGCAACCGATGAACTGATGACCGATGACGGATGGGTTTGCAGCGGGGATGTGGGATATTTCGATGACGATAGCTATTTGTTTTTGGTTGACAGGAAGAAGGAAATCATCAAATACAAAAGCTACCAAATATCACCGGCGGAGGTTGAGGCCACGATCGAAGAGCTACCGGAAGTGGCACATGCGTGCGTGGTGGGACTGTTTGATCCGGTGTTGCACGTGGATCTGCCGACTGCAGTGGTTCAGCTTCGCAGGGATTGCACGCTTTGTGAGGCCCGTGTGATGGATCATGTGGCCGAGAAGTTAGCGGACTTCAAACATCTGCGCGGTGGGGTTTACTTTGTAGACGAGCTACCAATGACCAAGTCGGGTAAGCTCCAGAGGTACGAGATACGGAAGTATGCCGAACAGAGATCTGCTGCGGCTGTGCGCAAAATATAGATGAAAGGTTAAATAATGTAAATATACATGTTTGGGAAACTTCGTAGAAGTTAAGAATACATTGTTTAATTCAAGGAATCTCCTAATACCAGGCGACTTCGTTGAACTTAAAATGCCTTGACATAGTTCAGGGAACTTCACATAAAATCAACGAGAAACGTAAAAGTGCAGGCAACTTAAGTATAAGTTAAGCGAATTACGTAGCAATTCAAGGAACTGCGTAACATTTCAAAGAAGTGCGGATAATTTTGAAAAATTCCAGGTAATTTCTTTGGAGATGATAAAGTTTAGCAAACCTCTACGAGCGTCAGGGATCTTGGTTTCTTTTAGGGAACTTTGTAGTAGTTTGTTAGAGATCCACTTGCCTATGCGGAGTTGCAATAAAATTCCTGAAAGTTTTGGGAACTTCGTTTAATGTTAAGGAACTCCTCAGATGTTCAGGAATATTCGTAGAAAAGGATGAGGTTGAGCATTTTTTCAAGAACTTAATGGAATTTTGTAGATGTTCGTATTATCTCAGATATTCTACATAGATGGCAAGTTTTTCAAGAAGTATTCAAATGATCTCCAGATAGACGAAGACTTCAATAAAGTTCTTTGGGTATTTTTCAAGACTTTAGGTTGATCAAGTATTATTCTTAAGATCTCAAACTGTTCAGAAATACAAATGATGCCTCTCAGTTATTAATCCAGGACGGCATGTTAATCAGGAAGTATATAAGACTTAATACTGATCAAGTTAATTATTCTGAAAATCTTAAATCTTACTTACCCTACCAATTAGGCTAAGGCCTTGTTGTCCTCTGCTGACTCTACTCGATCCATGGCCACACTTCACCAACCTCGTAGTCTGCGAAGAGTCCGCAGGTACCTTGCCCGCTGCGCGCCTCTGCTTCTTGTTCCTGTTGGGTCGCTTTCGAAAACCATTTTCACTGGTTCGTCGTCCGAAATTCTTACGACGTATCCAGCCCACCGTAATCGCCCAATTTTTGCAATGTTAACGATGGATGGTTCTCCTAGCAGCTGGTGCAATTCGTGGTTCATTCGCCTCCTCCACGTTCCGTCATCCATCTGCACTCCACCGTAGATGGTACGCAACACCTTCCGTTCGAAAACACCAAGCCGGCGGTTGGTTCTCCACGAGCATAGTCCAGGTCTAGTGGCCGTAGACGACCACCGGTCTAATCAGCGTTTTGTAGATAATCAACTTCGTGTGGCGGAGAATTTTATTCCATTTGAGCGTCCTCCGGAGTCCAAAGTAGGCATGATTCCCTGCCATAATGCGTCTTTGGATTTCTCTGCTGGTATCATTTTCGGCGGTCACCAGTGAACCCAAATACACGAACTCATCGACAACCTTGATTTCGTCACCGTCAATCTTTACTCGGGGTGGGAAGCTAACAGTGTCTTCCCTAGAACCTCTTCCTCTCCCAGCTCCCAGCTCTTCTTATAACACCTTCCAACGCAATGTTAAATAGCAGACACGAAAGTCCATCACCTTGCCGTAACCCCCTTCGAAATTCAAAGGGACTCGAGAATGTCCCCGATACTCGAACAACGCACATCGCTCGATCCATCGTCGTCTTGACCAATCGCGTCAGTTTATACGGAAATCCGTACTCGTGCATAATCTGCCATAGCTGAACAAGTGATGTGTGGGCACGTTGTATTCGCGGCATTTCTGCAGAACTTGCCGAATCGCAAAAAAATGGTCCGTGGTAGCGTGGGCACCCATGAATCCCGCCTGGTATTGCCCCACGAACTCTCTTGCTAATGGTAACAGGTGGTGGCATAGAATTTGGGAGAGTACCTTGTAGGCGGCGCTCAGAAGTGTGATCACGCGGTAGTTGCAGTAATCCAACTTGTCGCCATTTTTGTAGATTGGGCATTCGACACCTTCCATCCACTCCTCCGGTAATATCTCCTCCTCCGGTAATATCTCCTCCTCCCAAATCTTGGCAATTACCCTGTGCAGCGCTCTAGCCAGTGCTTCACCACTGTATTTTAAAAGCTCACTTGGTAGTTGATCTACACCAGTTGCTTTGTTGTTCTTCAGTCAACCGATCTCCGCTCGCTGCCTCAATTTGCCTTGCCTTATACTTTAACTAATTATGTTTGTTTTACTCCATGCGTGAAGTTAACAATTTACGTAGTTGGAGATGCTTAACGACAAATATCAGACTTTTCTTTTTTTTTTTAATAATAATTCCAGGCTCATTTGCTGTAGCTTTGCGGAGCCGATATTCATTGTTTAGATAACAGAATTACTTAAAACTAACGTTAGTAAAGCGGGGGCCGATTACTCGCGGCTATCTCGAGGTTAGGGGTAACAAATTGTAACAAATGGATGGCAGGGTAGGGATTGTGAACACATGGTTTGGAGAGCAACGTGCTCTTGATCTCGAACTAGGCGACACTCTGATGAAAAAGACAAACATGGGGGTACACCGATGGGTAGCTAACAACTTGGGAGAACACAAGATGACACTAACTTCTAAATCCTCAAATCTATCCGTTTTAAAAACACATAAATTAAATTCAAATAGTCAAGGTCTCGGCTCGCCAAGACATCTCTAACGGGTATCGCGGGTTGTTTTCCTCGGGCCCTGAGGGATGTTAATAACTCAGATCTGGCAACACGGTGTAAGGTACATGACCAAACAACATGCTCGATATCGTGATAACCACTGCCACACGCACATAAATTGCTGCCTGAGAGCCCAATTCGATAGAAATGCGAGTCTAACGAGCAGTGATGGGACATAAGCCTTGATATTACGCGTATAAAGTCGCGGCTCATGTCCAACTCTTTGAACCACAAACGAAGTGACAGACGACTAACTGGCGAGGAAATCAATTAAAATAATGTGGTTTGCTGTAATAGAATTTTCTTAGAAGCTTGTGCCATCATCCACCAGATGGGATAGTATTTTTGTTTTGGTTTTGCACAAAGTTTATTTTGTGTACAATGATTCTTTGACAGTGTGCAAAGAGTGCGTATCATTTTGTCATTTTTTTATGCGTTTCAGTTTTGAGTAGAGTGAAAGAGATAGAACCAAAACATTCTAGTACATTTGGTGAAAATGCTAGTTCAATCCAGTAGTAGTGTTGCCTTGTGGTACAATCCAGTGGTAGTGGTGTTGCCATGTGGTACACTGAAAAATTGCAATAGCAGGTTTGTCACCAAAGTTTTCGAGCCGCTCCGTCTGTCACTTCGTTTGTGCTTTGAACCATGGTTTGTTCGACACCTGTGGGAGAATAGAATGTAACCATCTTCCCAATTCACCATCATTCCATTTTTGTTGCCAACTGATGAGGACTTGCTGGCGAGCAATGGAGAAAAATTCGTTGAAGGCGATTTGTCGCTCAAAAATATCGCCTTCCATAGCGCCCACCTTAGCCAATGAGTCCGCTTTCTCATTACCCGGAATTGAGCAATGAGATGGGACCCAAGCTAAGGTGATAGTATAGGAGCAGTTAGATAAAGCACTCAGTTTAGATCGTATTTCAGGTAGGAAATACGAGGAGTGCTTCATCGGCCTCATTGAACGAATAGCCTCCAATGAGCTAAGACTATCCGTAAAAATGAAATAATGGTCAGAGGGTAGTGAGGCAATTCGCTCTACTGCGTAAAATATAGCTGCAAGTTCCGCAACGTATACGGAGCATGGTTTCTGCAGTTCATAGGAGGCGCTATGAAATTGATTAAATACACCAAATCCAGTGGAAGCATTTATGGTTGACCCATCTGTGAAAAATCTTTTATCGTTACTTACATGGTGGTACTTGATTGCAAAAATTGAGGGAACAACCATCGACCGATGGTGATCTGGTATTCCATGGATTTCTTGCATCATGGTCAAATCAAAATTTACAGAGGAACTATAGAAGGCTTGAAAGCAATCACGATTGGAGATTAATGAAGAAGGACCAACCTCCAGCGTCATGTACTCATAGTACAAACTCATGAATCTTGTTTGAGGATTTTGGTCGAGCAGCTTCTCAAAGTGTTCTATTACCAAAGGATTCAGTACTTCACAACGGATGAGAAACCGGAAAGACAGCTCAGCGAAACGATCTGTCAGTGGGAGAACACCCGCGAGTACTTCGAGGCTCATCGTATGAGTCGAGTGCATGCAGCCTAGCGCAATACGAAGGCAACGGTATTGAATCCGTTGCAGCTTAAGAATGTGTGTTTTTGCTGCGGATTGGAAGCAAAAGCTGCCGTACTCTAAAACCGAAAGGATGGTTGTTCGGTACAACCTGATAAGATCTTCCGGGTGTGCTCCCCACCAAGTTCCGGTAATTGTACGAAGAAAATTGATTCTTTGTTGGCATTTTTGTTTTAGATACGCAATATGTTTTCCCCACGTGCTTTTGGAATCGAACCAGACACCTAAATACTTGAAAGATATACTTTGAGTGATTGTTCTACCCTTTAGTTGAAGCTGTAACTGTGCAGGATGATGCTTCCTAGAAAAAAACAACCAACTCAGTTTTCTCCGGAGAGAATTCGATACCCAGCTTCATAGCCCAAGTAGACAAATTTTCTAAGGTATCTTGCAATGGTCCTTGCAGGTCCGGTGCACTTGGCCCTATAACGGACACAACCCCGTCATCTGCAAGCTGCCTTAGCGAGCAATTTTCATCAAGACAGCCACCAATGTCTTTTACATAAAAATTATAAAGAAGGGGGCTTAAACATGAGCCCTGGGGGAAACCCATGTAACTAATTCGTGAAGTTGTCGAGTTTCCACGAGAAAAGCTCATATATTTCTCAGACAACAAGTTGCTCAAATAGTTGTTCATAATTGGTGAAAGCCCACTATCGTGGAGTTTATCCGAAAGGACATCGATACAAACAGAATCAAAAGCCCCCTTAATGTCCAAGAAAACTGAACCCATTTGCTGTTTTTGCGCATAGGCCAGTTGAATTTCAGTTGAAAGCAACGCAAGACAGTCGCTCGTTCCTTTGCCTCTCCGAAATCCAAATTGCGTATCTGAAA